TTACAAAGCCCAACCGGTTAATGCTGTTTAAGGAAACAGTCGCTGTTTATTGTGAGAACCATACGGAACACGCAGATACGCTCTGTGGGCTGAGTGCAGAGTTTTAGTATGTTCAGTCCGTACCTCACAGGAAACATAACGTCTCCGCTACAAAGCCCAACCGGTTAATGCTGTTTAGGGAAACAGCCACTGCTTATTGTGAGAACCATACAAAACAAACGCAGATACACTGTATTTTTTAATGTCAGAGCGCGTGGTACACATGGTAAATATAATTCTTTAAAATGTTGACATGACTGTCATTCAGTGTCAAGACAGAACTTCTTAACATTAATTAAAACGTCATCTGTACCTGTACCGGTATGGAAATTATGATATGAAATGTATAGGTAATAAACAGTATATTGTGGTTTATTAAAATTTTGAATATTAAATATATGGAAGGGAATAAATATCAAATATTAATACTTCTTTCTGATCACAGATACATTAGGTAGTGATACAGATACCAAGATGTATAATTTTAGTCTAGTTACAGGAATGGGATTAGAAAGCCCCTTGTTCTGCTGTCACATGTGACTATTGAACCAGCCCCTAATGTAGGTGTGTACAGTGAACTGATGGAATGCCAACTGGCAGATGGAACGCGAAGCGCGCCCCCATAAGAACCTTCCCTAGTGCAGTTTTTTCTACCATAAATCTTAATGTACTACCCTGGAATCAACCGTGTACCTCTCCTACAAGAAGCCTGCTATTTACTGCCTGAACTGGGCACAGTAGGCAGACAGTTGATTGGTTAGTCAGGAGACTACATTGAATAGTACGGAAAACATGTATAAATAATTCCATATAACAAAATTTGTTCTCTCTGCTTGTATTTTTTTATTATGGATATTTTTACGTAGAGACCGTAAAATATGAAATCCGTATCTCGTTTGCTGTTTCCCTTTTTTTCGGTTCTAATATTTTGACTGAATGTGATTGGCTGACGTATAACACGATAGGAAATTTGCTTCAGGCAATAAAGTTTTCATGCAGATTTCACAGTGTGTTTATAAATAACACAAACGTCCGTGTGATTATACTGTTGTGATACTCATTCTGCTGAAACAACAAGAAGGGCCGCCCATCATGTGTACACACATACATTTCAGCCCTGTCCCCTAAGTCCTGTTCAGCTCTGGCAGCCGTTGTTTCAAAACGGGTTCGTCAAACAAAGCAAATGAACATTACGTTAATATAGCTGCGTTCCCATAGTTCTCACCTGACGATGTACTTTTTTCATGTAATCCCTCTCAGCTTAATATTTTTCTAAATAATACTTAAAATTTATTTTCTTACCTCACAGGAAACACAGTGCGACTCCATTAAAAACACAAACCGGTTAAAGCTGCTCTTTCCTTGAGAACCGTGCAGAGCACATAAATGGCCGCTGTTGACAAAACGCAGTGATTCTAATGTTAAAGCGAGCGATTCGTGCAGTAACCACTGTGCATTTAGTGACGAACGTACTCAACTTTTTGTATACGTTCTCCGGCGACGTTCTAGTCCTGATTTTTTTCGGTATATTAACGTGTTAAATGTTCTCAGTGTTGTATTTGGGTATCCTGCTGCGTTAGTTTCTCACCTGCCCACGCTGGTTCCTCACACGCGGATTTTTCTTCTACGCTGAAGATGGAGGCGATACTTTCCTCCGAAACGTCCGTTAATACAATATCTGTACGGCTCCAAATCTCAGAAAATAGCTTTCTTCATAGTCACTGCCTTGAAAACCTCAAATCTTACATTCTATAAATTAATGTTGTATTTTACCGTCCTGTTGCACTGATTCTCATCCATGATATGTATGTAATGGTCGTCTTGTAGTGCACTCAATTTCGCATGTCACTTCACTACATGTTTCGGCAACATTGTGCCGTCCTCAGGTGCTTTATTTACGGTAAGCTATTGCATTCCTTGCCATCATGTGTCTTTCATAAAATTATTAAAATGTACATTCTTCATCAACTATAATAAAATTTGTATACACTAAAACTTGTTAAGAGTATTCATCTTATGCGTGTTAATTCAAACTCGCGTATTGTATGGTTCTTCCACTATGGGAGTCGTATTTCCAATATTTTTTGTGTACTGTGTCTTGTGATGTGTCCTTCCTTTTTGGCTGCGAGGGTTGTTCTATAAATTGGGCTACGATTATTTCCTTCCACTTTATTTCCAATTCATCATTTATTAATCCTCCAGCCATTCGAGGTATAAAATCGGAGCTGTTGCTAGCGTCGTTAAACAAACCGTAAATAAATACTTCAGTGAAAACATACGCGCACTATGAGTGCAGACCCCAATTCTCACAAAACGTTCATGTTATCAGTATATATTTGCATATGATGAGAGGACAGTAATTTTTAATCATTATAATTTGACATATAACACTTTCTCCCTCCCACAGTGTAACCGCAGCCACTATCCCGTTACTTCTTACCACGCCTTTCCCCTTTCACTTTTATTACTGTGCTGAGGGTTCAGAGCCGCAGTATCCATCTTAACAGTGTTTAGACAGGCAGAACCTGGGATTCTGTCCTGACAGTGCCTTCCGTGTTTCTTTTCTTTCGTGTGTTGATATACACGTCACTTTGCCTATCCTTTGTCAAGGGAAGCAGATAAAAAACTATACCGTGGTAAGCCGACTATAAAAGAAGTCTGGTCTATTGTCCGTATGTATATTTACGAAGCAAGATTTGATGAATCGATCCCAGTCTGTAAACACACAAGACAGGACTGCCGGCCGAGCTGCCTCAGCCGATAACGCTCCCGATTTGTATTTATGAGGTAAAGGTAAAAAGATAAAATTGTCCGTCTGCTTAATTAATTAAAGCATCACGCCATGAAGACGTATCGGGGAGTGGAGATATAGCTACACCATTGTTTAACTCGGCACTAGATGTAGGTGAATGGTCAGCTTCACGGCCCGGCTGCTTTACCCCCGGATAAAGGGCCCACAGTACTCGTTGGATAGAAAAGCTGGTTGGCCTGCATAACCGGTCTGGACACTGTGGAGAAGAGAAAATTTCTTCCCTTTACTGGAATCGAACCCCGGCCGTCTAGACCCTAGTCCATCGGTATGTAGACTGAGTTATCCCGGCTCATGCGTTTGGAAGTTCCCGGTTCAAATCCTTGTCGAAACACTAACGTGGCTGAGGTTTGTGTTCCTTTAAATAGGCTACGAGTCTGTCTTCCCCATTCTTTAAAATTACCCGAACTGAATTGATTGAGGAGAACCACGGAAGGCCTCAGTGAGTCTCTGTGCCGAAATTTTAAACCCAGGACGTTCCGAACAGGGGACAGGAGCTCTTAGGAATCGACCACAACATTTGGTAACTTGTAATGTGCATTTCCGGTGCCACGTCGAATTGACGTCCGTTAGTTGTCACTTTTAAACTACATCCTTTAGAAGTGGATTGGTCATATCTTACGCAGTAACTGCCTTCTAAAAGAAGTTATTGAAGGAAAGATAGAGGGGCGGATAGAAGTGACCAGAAGACGAGGAAGAAGACGTAAGAAGATGCTGGATGACCTTGGGGACAGAAGAGGATATTCTCATTTGAAGGAGAAAGCTCTAGATCGCATTAAGTGGAGGAACTGTTTTGGAAGAGACTGTGGACCTGTCATCTTGACAGATTACTGATGAATGAATGGTCACTTTTGTTGAACCTTTATAAGGGGCACTTTGGTTTCTCGTCAGAGTGCGAAGGGGATTACTAAGGGACAACAGGCCTTCCCTGGGATCAGATGTTACTCTTTGGGAGGAAAGTGGAATTGCGTGAAGAACGGGCGCGCTTAGGAAGTCACCACTGCAAAAGTCTCGAAACTTAGTACACTCATATGGAGAGTGTCCTCTTCTGTGTTATGACGCCATGTGAGAGACCGGAACGTTAGAGGGAACACGTCACTTCCGCATTCAGGGCTGGAGAGCAAATCGAGCAGCAAACAAACAGAAGCAGTGGACAAGCTGAGCTCCGGTAAAACTTCACGGCGTTACAACCCAGACGACGATTATTACTATTGTTATTACTTACTTACTTACTCTTGGAGCTGAGTCGTTCTTGAGAAGCCGACAGTTGTGTAGCTACTCAAGAATTCCCCAACATTTTATGGAACCCGAAGGTTCTTTACCCCGTTCACAAGATCCTTCCACTGATCCCTATCCTGAGCCAGATCTATCCAATCCATACTATCCCATCCTATCTCTCTAAGATCCATTCTAATATTGTCCAACCACCTACGCCTTGGTCGTCCCTGTGGTCTCTTTCCTTCCGGCTTTCCCACCAATATCCTATACGCATTCCTCGTCTCCCCCACTCGTGCTACATGACCTGCCCACCTCATCCTCCTTGACATTATTATTATTATTATTATTGTTGTTGTTGTTGTTGCTCTACAGACCTGTGTTGGGTCTTGGCCGGTTTTTCAGTTTCTTGATCCTATACACAGTCGGTAGGGCTCCTTCGAAGGGGGATCAGCCCATCCCGAGGCCTCTGCCTACACACAGGACAATACAGAGTGGGATTCGAACCCACGATCCCAGCGTTCGATCGAGCGAAAACAATTCATGCCTTAGACCGCGCGCCCACTGTGATCATTCTCAGACTTCCATGCTTTTATCGTTGCTGCGAGAACCTCAAACCCAAAACTTATTATGTTTTAAAAAATATGTACTTCGCACATGGAGCGTGTAGTGAAGTGATGGATGCTACTTGACTGTTACGTGGTGATTCTGGGATATAAAGCCGTTTAGTCAATTGAAAGCGAAGCAGAGCGCTCACTTTGCTACCTGCTCCACACTGGTTTCTTGCTTGGCTTATTCTTCGACACTGAAGATGGACGCCATGTGTGCCTCCGTAATGTCGGTTCGCTTTCAACGGACTACAAGGCGTTGTGTCCCAGAGGACATATAACCATTGCTTTGAGACCCTCAAATCCTACATGGTGTGTATTTGTTTCAGTGTGTACCGATCCCCGGCCTAGGGTTTCGACGCGGCAGCTACAAGTGTGTGTGCCGCCGGGGATTCTATTTTCCCGACGTGAGAGCCATACATCGTTACTACAACGGGACGGTGCTGGAGGAGGAATATGAAAAACTGCTGATGGTAAGACAGCGTTCTGTATCAACTGGGCGGAATCCGTCCTTCATGCGAGAAATGTACCAGACGACACACAGAATTCGGAAAGAGTTCAGATGAGTAGTGACAGTCTTGTTATGAATTATTCTTCGTATTCAGGAAGTCCTGGAATCGAAACGATGTTTGTATACGGATTATCCTGAACGGGGGTTTCCCGGTTTTCATCAGTTCCTTCAATAGTGCCTGAAAATGGGCTCCGTCCGCTTCTTTCAATTTTCTTTCAAGTCAGCTGTTTCGGGATCATAGGAATCGGTTTTCGCTACATAGGGGTAACTATATATACAGCTTTTTCTTCTCTACTGACACTGCATTCTTGTGTGGGTCTTGGCCTCCCTATGTTTTCGTAACAGTAAGTTTTCCCGGGGTGCTGTCGTTAGCCCCACGCCCAACCCCCAACCTGGAGGACCAGTGTCTACACTTCGTCTGGCCCGTACCTTTAGACCTGTGTGTCATGGGTAACCCTACCAGAAGCTTACACTCCCGCTAGCATAGCTCTCAGGGTCGTTGGAGTGCGCAAACCTCTCCACAATAAGGCAGTAGTCAAATTCATATTGCCACTGAGTCTGTCTTGGTGTCGGGCCCAATTATTTTCCTCCGAAACGTCGGTGAAATTCTACCAGACTACAAGTCGTCACATTGCAGAAGACAGTAATCTTCGGTGAGTAAGTAATGGGATCTGAGTTTTTGAATTCATATGTAGTTATTTTTATTTCGGAGGACCGTGTTGTTATGACGTGGAACGATGAAAAGATGGAGGTAGTAAATTTCGCCGCCGTTCTACGCGCTGAGTGACAGCACATTAGGCTGCATTGTTCTGTGCTGGGTTCGCATGTGTAATGTCCACTCCATATTGTAGCGGCAGACAAGTGTGACGGGGCAGTTCCCATACACAATTGCTGTAGGATGCAACTTCAGAGCAGACCTACACGTACATCATACTTAGCATAATGTGCAGTAATTCATAACGTCCACTCCCCCATACGCCTTCGTGGCGAAGTGCTTAATTAGTTAAGCACAGCGACAACTTTACCTTTTTTCATTCATAGGGGTACACGCGGTAGCGTAGTTGGTTGAGGCACTATGCTACAAAACGGAAGGTCGCGGGTTTGATTCCCGATGAGGTCATTGGTTTTTTCAATTGACCTAACACTTCTAGCCGCACTGTGGCCCTGGGGTCGACTCAGTCTCTAACAGAAATGAGTACCAGGAATGTTCATGGGGATAAAGGGTGGTCGGCTCGTAAGGCTGACAGCCTCACAGCCATGTGTGAGCCGATTGTCTAGAAAATGTTGGAGCCTCGACGTCTGACATCCCTATGGGCCTCCACGGCCTGTTATATGGATAGCTTTACCCTCTTTGCCTTTACAGTAATTCACAATAAATAAACGAGACTCGATTTGGCTTATTTACGGTAAATAATAAAACATTTCTGTACCGGCTTTTGTTGGAGAGTTAATGGCATCGATAATTACGTCTGTTTGCAAAGGAGGCTTGTGTATTTTTATACATCTGCTTGTATTTGTTACTGATCACTCATTCTAATGTGCAAGTTTGTGCAGCTGTACGCTTGCATTTCGGAGGCACACGGTTCCAATTCTGATAAGTTTTGTGTGGCTGTCCTCCTCCCAAAATTGTACGTAATTGTCCTTCACAAACACCGTCTCGTATTTCATGTTAATGTTACCATGAGCGCCGCCCTGATGCTTTCTGTGACCGGGGGTGGAACCTGGAAAATTTGCCTACCACATATGTTTGAGCTGTTTAAGGCACCCCTCGGCCTGAGGGCCTGTGAATTTAAAGGGAGACAGGTCCATATTCAAGAATAATTTTAATTTTTTATTGATACATATTATATTTTTTTTAAATCCTGGAGATTGCATCTATCCAGCTTACCCCCACCCCAACCCCCTACAGGTTTCGATATATTTTACATAAATTCTTACGTTTTACACTCTCCCTTTTGGTTTAGAATAGCTCTACATTTTTGTTTCTTTCGTTCATCGGTATTTGCCAAATTCCTGTTAAGCTTTAACTTGAAACTGCCCTTCTGTCTTCTGCAAAGACTTGTGTCCCTTTGTCTCATGGCAATATGATGTAAATTTTTATATACGGCCATCTTCGATTCTTGCATCGATATTCTTATTCTGTCGATATTCTTTTCTATCAGATAAAAATCAGAAGTTACTGAAAACTAACTTCATTCCTCATATGTCTAGTCCATAAAGTTGTTGGATTTACAAACCTCGTTTCTGCTTGTCAGTTTTATTATTAGATTAGTTTTCGCTGTTATACTTAACGAACCCGAAGGATGATAACAATGATAAATTTTCACTTCTTCTTCTCTCCCCGTTTTGTTTATTAACACGCATCGTAGAGTCCCGACACATACGTTAAAGATAGAGTCGAGCCATTGGCTGTTCTGAATTCGGCAATGAACTGTCGAGATTCATAAAACTTAGTGAATTTCTTCACAACGTCGACTATAAGCTTTTAAAGACGACCTCTGTTCTATGTAATTAATTAATTTATTAAAGTTAATGTATTTACAGTTTAATTTATTTTATTTATTATCGTCAGTCAAGCGACCTCCGTAGTCTAGAGGTAACGTTCCCACCTCATGACTCGAAGCATTATAGATACCTCTCAGCTAGTAGAGCCGGTCTCGCTGGCTGGGCGGGACTGATGGTAAGCACCAGTACCGGTAGGATATAGAGACTGGTAGAAATCATAGAGGGAAGCACAATGGACCAATACAGGTCTAAGTGCATGGAGAAACCCACCCTCTCCAATAACTAACTAATATCGTCAGTCACTCAGGTCATATGGTATCGAATGATAGGATGAGAATTGCTAATGAATAGGGAAGGAAGACGTCATAACCTAATATAGGCATAAGGTACTCCTTATGAGGGACTGAGTAGATCCAGGCAAAACGTCAATCAGGATAGTGCGTGTCCCGCCCGAGGTTCGAACCAAGCATCTGCTGAATAGAGTTCAGATTGTAAGCGCTTGAACCAGTCTGCTCAGACCTTGCCGCTTTTGTTACGATAAATCGTGGGACATATGTTTTTCCTTTGCATGTTTTTTCTTTCAGATATGACTAAAGAATTCGGGGGAAAGTGACTGCACGCTTGTTCTGATGCTCAGAAGTTTTGAAACTGATTTTCCTTCAAATGTATCGGATATGACGCCAGTCTTCACGCTGCTGCGTCGGTGGAGGGTTTCCTCCAGAAGGCTTCCTGACAAGCCTCGCTTCATATTTATATGACATGTAGGCAGTGTCGCAGTGTTCTTCATCCCCCGTGAACTGTTCGTGTAATATGAAACATGTAACTCTAATCGTGCATTTAGATCTTCTGGGGCGATAAGACATGTCAAAAGTTCTGTTAAAATCCCAATTTTCAGAGCTGTGAGACTTCCGGCTCTCACGGTGTAGACTGTGAACAGTACTGGTATATAATGCCATGCTTTCCGGTAGAGGCTTGCCGACGTATTACTGGAACGTACCTCCGTATTCTTCTATCCTGAAAATGGAAGTAGCACGTTGCTTTGAAGCAGATATGTTTCAGACAACATGATGACATGTTGCAGAAAACAGCAGTCTTTTTATAGGATATACCTGTATCATCAGGGTCAACCCTGATGATGGAGGCAGCGCAGGTCTCCAAAACACGCATTTTAATTGAATTTTGATGTTGCTATCCCCCCAAGAAGACTTAATGTATTACTTTACCACGAAGCCTTCAAGGCTTACATGCGTTAACCTCGTAACATTGCCTGCAGGACGTGGACAACCAGTATAGCGAGCCAGGAATGTTCGAGTGTCTGCAGTGCGCAGAGGGCTGTGAGTCCTGCGAGGATGATCGCCCCTGTGTTGTGTCCCTGAACTGGGTCATGCGCACGGCCATACTCATCTTGTCCTGCGTCATCATCTGCTGTCTGCCTGTCGTTGTTCTCTTCACCTGGAAGTATGGCAACGTCAAGGTAGGACAAACATCCGGTTGTTCTTTCGTGTTCGAGTTGGGATTTTCACAGCGGAGTCAATCTGGACGTAGTAATCCACAAATCAAAACCTAATTCAGAAGGAAATTAACAGGAGACTGAACTCGGGTAGTACTTGCTACCATTCAGTCCAGAAGCTCTTGTCTTTTCGTCTGCTGTCTAAAAACATAAAAATTAGAAACTATAATTTTGCCTGCGGTTCTGTATGGATGTGAAACTTGGTCTCTGACATTAAGGGAGGAACATAGACTGAGGATGTTAGAGAACAGGGTGCTGATGAGACTATTTGGACCGAAGAGAGATGAAGTGACGGGAGGCCGGAGAAAACTACATAATGAAGAGCTTCATAACTTGGACTCTTCAAACAAACTCCGTGGTTTTAGTTCGCAACCTAACTATACCGACCGAGCGACCGCCGCTTGTCGGCGAATTTAGTGCCAACTTTCGCTGATAGAGGGTGTTACGTGGTCAGCGCAACGGATCCCCACGGCCGCTAATTTCGATTTTCTAGACCGGAATCTCTACATTCCCATTCAAGTATCTCAGTTATCTTCACGATGCTGAGTGAACCCCTTCACTACTTCTCAGAAAATCTGATGGCGACGGGAATCGAACCCAGGGCCTTTGGATCTGTAGCCAGGAGCTCTGACCACTAGACCACAGAGGTGGTCCAGCTTGTACGCTTCGCCAAGTATGATTAGAAAGATGAAGTCAAGGAGGATGAGAGTGGGGGAGACGAATGCATATAGGATGTTGATGGGAAAGCCAGAAATAAAGAGACCACTAAGAAGACCAAGACGTAGGTGGGTGGGTAATATTAAAATGGATCTTAGAGAGATAGGATGGGATGGTATGGATAGAATTGGTGTTGCTCAGGATAGGGACCAGTGGAGAGCTCTTGTGAACACGGTAATGAACCTTCGGGTTCCATGAAATGCTGAGAAATTATTGAGTAGTTGTACAATTGGCAGCTTCTCAAGAAGGGTTCAGTCCATGAATGAGCGAGTGAATATAATAATGGGAATAATCTGTTTCTTTCTGCCATTTTCAATTTACTGATAACCCTTTCACTGCCATTGTGTTCCAATAATATGAAGAAGCCAATCATACCACTTGCTTTGCCTCAGAGTCTGTCAGAATCAAAACGTTGCATTTCTGCGTGTAATGTTACAGCTTTGGTCCTTATTTTCCTCCCAAGGGGCATCTGTACTGATATAACGATTTTCACGGCTTTTCTGTTTTTCGGGAACCTGTTGCCGCTTTCCTCAGGGCAGAAGAATCATAGAGTGTTCCCACATGAAGATGGTGGGACAGGTTCCTCCAGAACATTGGTATCTATGCAGTCGCGCTGAAGAAGATTGTAATCTGCGTGTTCCCCACTGTCAGGATTTCGGATCTTACATGGAATATAAATCACTTAAGTTACAGAATTATGTCTGAAAAAATTTCATGCGATGTCATCCAGTGTATTACTTTTGTCGGTAGTCTAGTTTATATCTTTGTGCAGTGTAATTGTCTTTACAGCAGTGGACTTGTAATCTACAATAAGTATAGATAAAGTTCAACACACTAGGAAAATATGTGTACTAAAATTTGGAGTGCTTTTCCACTTCAGATTTTGAAACTCTGAAATTTTTAAATTTTTTTGTAATTCGCATAGTGGGGGGTGGAGTCCAGTTGGGTCCACTCTGCACGGCGGCCACTTATTGGCCTATTGTACCTGCCCCGGGTGATTATGATGATGGAGAATTTTGGTGGAATGAAGATTGGCAGGGGATACCGAAGTACTCGGAGAAAACCTACCCCAGCGCCACTTTGTCCACCACAAATCTCACTTGACCAGACCCGGGATCGAACCCAGGCCGCCGCGGTGGGAAGCCAGGCACTAACCGCTTGAGCTATGGCGCGGCCTAATTTTTGTTTAGTGTAATAGCATTCGTGATCTGACCTACATCATTTACGGTGCTGATCTGTGATTCTAACAGTTATGCAGCCGCAATAATTGTGTTTGCTAATATCTACTAGAATTTTCATTTATATCAGTGCCTCTGAAATCTATAAGCAGAATTTGAGTTATTTCATTAGAGAATATCAGTCTTCATGTCTCATATTACATATATTTATCTTCGAATTTTGTGTTAGAAATTATATTTTTGGTTTAAATAAACAGTAAATATTGACAGTTCGCCCTTGCTGATTACACGCGGTAATTAATTTATATGGTAATAAAACTGTTATATACACAGAAATGTCGGTGCACTGGTAGCCGTTCTGCAAATATGAAAATCTATACCTTGTTTATGTTAGTATTCTGTTTGTGGAAGCAAGTCGAGGCTATTGTGTATAAAATGGATGTATACAGAATACGTAGTCATATCCGTTTCCGTTACGCTATATTATCCAGGAAACCAAATAATCTGTATATCGGGGCATTCCTTTAGTGTGATCTCACCTTGTATGTTCGTATAAGGCCAGTCTGTGTTCTCACAGATGTAGTTATTGTGAATGTCTGACAGATGGCGTCGTTAGTCAAACAGCCTCGATGCATCAGTTGATAACATGTGTTCATACTTTCACATGTTGTATACCTTGAACGCTAAGGTTGAGCCGGACTAAGAATAGCCACGGGTATTGGGGATAGAAAGTTGCTAGGAGGAGAGAGTCTGTTGCCCCACTCTACCATCCTAGACTTCCTGCTGGCATTCGTTCCTTACTGTTGTAGAACGGGTAATTCAGCCATGGTAGTGGGAGGTTGTAGGGGGTGTAGTGGTAGATTAAATGCAGCGCAGGACTGGAAGGTATATCAAAAAGGGGACGATCCGTGACAATCCTTTGGCAAGCTGCGCTGTAGTTTGATGTGTACTTGCTTTCACAGAGAATGCAGACCTCAGGGAAGACGTTGATATGAGACTTCCGACTTAATTTTCGAGGGGCTCAGTATCGGTTATAATCGCCCAGCTGATGATATAAAGGAAGCCAGAAAAATGCTAATCCTTCCTTCGTGTTTTACGATTTTATTCCTGGTACAAATTAAATGGATTCACTTTCCTTTGTTCTTGTGAAATATAAATAACGTTACTGTGAACAACTTTGAGCGGGAACGGAGCAGCTAACGAATGAGAATCCTTTCTAAGAAGTCTTACAAAAGTCCTAATTTCTAGAAAGGAGGAACAAGTTCCTCCCTTGAGAATCTTAAATCTGGGGAACTGCTGGAAACATTACCCACAGTAATCCCCGCCTCTTCATTACTTACAGTACTACTCATGTGTCTAATTGAAACTTGCAAGAACGGGAACTATCCCTTCCCTGTTTCGGCGGCGTTGTTTATCGTCTCTTCCACTTTCTCCTCCATTTTATACCCTCCCGCAGGTTCTGATATTTTGTATTCTAAAGGATACTAATTTTAGTGTAAAACAACTTCTTTATTAAAACCGTCACAACACAACTATATCAAGGTCAGTGCCAAGTTTGGCTCTGCTACATGTTTCGGCTATTAATTCCATCATCAGGCAAATACATGGCTAACACATATACACCACTGAACTGCAGTACTGGTAAAATTGGATACAATAATATTAATTATTTAAATACTTGACGTAAAAATACAATAAATTATATGATATAAAATAAAAGCTATAGTATAAAACAAGAATAAAATTCTTCGATTGATTCTTTACATCATCGAGTCAGTCGTTTGTTTTTGTAATTTTGTTGGATTCCCACANGGCTCTGCTACATGTTTCGGCTATTAATTCCATCATCAGGCAAATACATGGCTAACACATATACACCACTGAACTGCAGTACTGGTAAAATTGGATACAATAATATTAATTATTTAAATACTTGACGTAAAAATACAATAAATTATATGATATAAAATAAAAGCTATAGTATAAAACAAGAATAAAATTCTTCGATTGATTCTTTGCATCATCGAGTCAGTCGTTTGTTTTTGTAATTTTGTTGGATTCCCACGGACAAATTGGAGTAGTCTATATTTTGTGTGTATATAAAAACTGTTATTGGAGGCTCGTGATGTAGATATAGTAATATTAATTTTAATCTGAAAATGATATGAAAGTAATAGTATTAAATTTTGTTATAATAGACATTTGATTTTGGTATTAAAGGTATAGTGTATTATTACTTACTATTTAGTCGGTGCCTTATCTTACCAAGTATTATCCGTTCTGTAGGGAATGTAAACAACGAGTGATTGTAAGATTAAAGATTAGTGTAAGACTTTGCTTGCAAGATCTAGAAAGAGTTATCTTTTTCTGTTGGATTTGAAGTTCTCGTAGCGGTGGAAATTAAGAGTACTGTTGTGAGGTATGACGCCGTGTAGTCTGGTAGAGGATTACGGAAGTTTCGATGGAACATACAGCATTACAGCCAAGCAAGCATTACCTATCCTTTCTGTTCCTGTTTACCATGAGCTCCTTTACAGCTCTCTGTCTGAATCAGGTTTTTCACACGTGACTCGCTCGGCATGCTGCTAGCTTTCTTCGCGAACTCTTCCACTATGAAAATGGACGCGGTATATTCCTCCGAAACGTCAGTGAAAATCTACCGGATTACATGATGTCACATTCCATAAATAGCAGCATTCGGTTCTTTCTTGCGTTTGGAATTAATTATGCCCTCTTGGGTTCAGTGTTTTACAAAAAAGCATTTTAGTTTTACAAGTTGGATATACAGTGATTCTAAATTGCTATCGGGGTTTCCGTTTATATACCACGGAAATCCCTACAATAATCTATAATCACCACCTTGTGTATACTCCTGTGTCTCTACCTGTTATACTGTATGGGTGTGAAACGTGGTTGTCCTTTCAGAAGGGGGCAAGAAATTTTGAACCCAATAGAGACAAATGTGTATGAGTAAAGGGTTCCTCACTCCCTCCAGGCAAATTCCGGTGTACTACCTCGATTATGGCATGACGAATTCCTTTCGTATCCGTTCCAGTTCATCAGTCATAG